TATTATTTTACGCAAATAAAGAACTGACCACTAACGTGATCTGAATGTAAATATACATAAAGAGATGATGGTTATAAGCTTGTGAAATTCATTTTGCAAAGTACCAAAAGATAATATAACTTCTGATAGAAATAAAAGATAGTACTCTAGCTTAGATCAACACATGAATTCAATTAGAAATAAAAGAGTCAATCAAAAAATGAAGTTATTCTTAATTACTCTATGATCTTTATAAAGTTATGATTATTTACAAATTATTTTACCGAAGTATGCTTTTTTTCTCTACTGAGTGTTACGTAGTTCTTTTTCCAAATTATTTGTTCTTATGTACTTATTGATCAAGTAGTTTCTTAACAGTTGTACATACATAGACCTTAACATTTATTTTTAAGAAAAGTTTATTTACTGTTATCAGTATAGGGGTTGTGGAGATTATTACGTTTTTAATTGAGATCATAAAATCGATCATGAACCGAATCTCGTGAGCAGGATCGTGAATGAGCACTGCTTAGGAGTCCAACAATAGGACGAAACGGCCGTCCAGTGCTTCCAGGTGGTGGTGGTCTAATACCAATCATTTCATGATCTCAATTATTTAAAATAAAGTTTTCACTGCTTAAACTAAAGTGAACATATACTTATTTATTTATTTTTTTAATCCACTTGTTTTTTTTCTTTCTTAGCGCTTTCTTGTCGACTCAGGTTATCCAAAAACTCGAAGAAGTCGTCAAGGTTCAATCATGATTTAAATAAACTGTAATTTTATTTGCTTAGCATAATAATAATCATAATCATAAATGAATATCTTTACTGATTATTTTTTACTCTTCTACTTTAACATTTAGTGTAACATAATGTAAAGTGACATAGCATAATAATACTTCATACATATATTAGTAATATTTTGTATCACATTATTATTCAAATTTATTCCCTTTAATTGTTGCTTTTGTTTTTCTTTTATTTTGTGATTTTATTTATCGTTAAAGTTTACATTCCTAATAAGCTTTTTTATTAGTTTATAACTACGCACAATATCCTTTATTATCATTGAGAATATTAATTAAGTTTATTTGAGTATTTTATCTCTTTTTATAAAGTATATCATGTTCAAGCTTTCAATACCAAGTATAAATTACATTATAATGTATATATGATAAAATTATAGTAAATAATTAGATGTCATAAATGAATTATTTTATTATTTTATTTCAATTATATCACCTAATCTTGTATTTGATTGACTTAAATATCTTGTGTCAAAAATTTCATAAAATTAAACCATTTGTTGATTGATCATTTAAAGTGTTTAAATTTTTTTTTTACTCACATTTAAAGTATCTAAAATCCTCATTTAAATATCTGTATATTTTCTTAGAATTGTGGATTAATATTCATTGTTTATGACTTGTAACACAATAAAATTTCATATGTAAGACTGTTGAAAAGAATATTCCACAAGAAAAAGAGAATTCAGCGAAGAAAATTTTCTTTTCGACGAAATCATTTACTTAAGCTGTACATTTGTATATATAGGTATATGGAAAATGTATGTCTATAGAAGGATAGAAAAAATTGCATCACCAAAATGGATTCGAGGATAAATAACAAATGAGGTTATGTACTAATCAAAGGGTAAGGAAGAAAATCGTTTATGGGTCAGATAATGATTTCGTCCAAAAGAAAATTTTCTTCGCTGAATTCTCTTTTTCTTATTCAATGACACTATGGGTTATTTTAATTATCAAAAGAATATTCATAAATATAAAGTATTTCTTCAGTGCCTAATATTGTAAGTATAGGCTTTAATTAATTTTTATACGTTAATTTAACGGATAATTGTTGTAATTTCATCGAAGTGTACCTGCTTCATTGAATGACTTAGCTGATTCTAACCATTTAGAATTGAAGCAGTACTTTTCATCCATTAACAAGAATGTCATATTATTGGTAAAAGCCTCTCTGATGAAATGTCTGAAGCTGTTAACGAACTTTCTTAAATTTTGCATTGCTTGTAATATATTACAATTTTACATTAAATTCATATTGCATCAGGTTTAGTCGATGAATGGTTTATTGATTGGTAATCTGCCCGACCATGTGAATGAGTTATGTGACAGAGGTTACGCAGGCGAATTTTGGCCAAAAAAAGTTATAATTTTAGGACTTGCAGTCATTTAGCTTATACTGTTTGATATTTAAGACCGTTCTTAAAAAGTAGTCAAATATATTTTAGGAAACATTAACTGTAGTTCCAGCATATCGAGTACATCAACTAGTTCTGAGAAGAATTTCACTAACTATACAACCTATTGGCAGCCTAAAGTCATAACACTGTTATTCCAGACTATCTGGAAACAGCCACTGTTAGCTAGCTTTATACGTCTAACAGGTTAGTGGGATGTTATTTTCGATTCATCCCGAACTAAGTGTCTTCAATTAGATAACTCAGAAGTTAATTTCTCAAGAACAATTAGACTTCAAAGGGACATAGTTAACGTCAGAAGTGTATGGTAGTGGAATTCAATTGTTTGGTTTCTTTATAGCGCTGACAGACTTAATCGTAAGTGTAATGGAATTATTCTGTGCCTGAAAAGCACACAAGCCATATCAGCTTTCAGGACTGTGGCTCACGACTCAAGGACATATGAACTAGTGCGCTCCCGGCTGAAATGCAAAGGGCAAGACGATGGTTAATAGAATGACTGCTCTGATTTGTTTAACTACTGCTCTACTTCACTATTCTGCCACAGTGACTATGCAAGCATCAACATGTACGTGTCACCTGATAGCAACATCATACGTCCTAACAAGTTACATTAGTTTCAATGCGCATCTCTATTTACAGGCGGTTTGACAAATACTTAACAGTACATACTAACAGTTTTATTGATGTTTCCGGTGCATCTCTCCATTTTGCTGTATACTCAGTTGCAAAGCAGACTTAAAGTTTTGTCATGTATGAATAAGATGAACTCGAACCGCTACCTACAATGAGTCCTAATAACCGATGGGTGACTCAAGTGATCCTAAGATGAAATTTAATAACAAAACTTTCTGGTTGTTGTGTCAAACGATCCATAAGTGTAAAAAGATAGTAGAATTTGTTTGAGTGTGGGTGGTGTTTGTATGAACTAACGATTGTTTTGTACCTGATTCCTGGATGCTTTAGAATTCTAAATACTATATGTTCGCTTGTGCTAGCCTAGTTCTATTTGGTCTAACTCTCACTGTTTCGAGAAGTCCTAGATAACGCAACAGTTCAAGTACTTCTACTTATCACAATGACGTCGCAAAAGGCTAAAATCCTGGACAGTTCGATTATAATTGAAATTGGTATCACTTAGAAAACTACATAGAGCGGTCCAAAATCTGGTGCATAAATAGGAAATACAGTAAAGATGATGGGTTCACAGCTTATTTTCTGACGTTCATCATCAAAGAAGCTTGTCATCTGCTAAAGAAACTAGCTTTCACAGAGAAAGCAACTTCATTGTCACCTGAATCTCTCAGGGGATTACTACTTAGTCATGTGCAGTGTGCTAGCTTCTAATGCAAAGAAAGATCGAAGATACATAAAATGATGCGACAAAATGATCAGAATGTTTAAGAATCTTTACTTGAACTAAAGAAACAGGCCGAGAAGTGCAATTTGGGCGACCGATTGTAAACTCAACTTCGTGATCGGTTGACTACTGAGATAAATATTCTGAATTTAGTAGCAAGCCAGTTACAACAATCGGACACGTTACAAAAACTCGGGTGAGTCCGTTCCATTTTTCGTCGGTGGTTCTAATACTAATGAGTACATTTCAGATCATACAGAGACTATAACCAATGCACAGCCGGATAGACATATGATGAACATGAGCAGAAGTGCGATCAATTACAGAAATCTGGATTTCCTTTTAAGCTGTAGAGGTTTTTGCATTTGTACGAAATAGTCATTCCCTTATACTTGATTTTGCGTTTATTAGGAAATCTAAGTATAATATGTTCGTTCGTGATCATCTAGTTCTTCCTGACCTAAATAGCACGATTTAGGAATTTATAGTTAGTAAATTAATTCGAGTGTTTCTAATTATCATTACTTATTTACTTATAGGAGTATAAGCCGCCCACCAAGATTTTCCATAGAACTCGGTCCTACAAAATCCCATCTCGTTTTTTGAAGTAGCTATTCCCACTTCTCATATCTGCTTCCGATTCCCGTCTCAATATGTTCCCAGGCCTTCTTCTTTTCCATTCACCTTCAGTAATACAAGTTACTGCTTGTCTCATGATGCAGTTTGATGATTTGCATAATGTATATCCTATCCACTTCCAACATCTTTTTCTAATTCACTCCCCAGCTAGAACCTGGTTTATTCTCTGCCACAGTGGGTTGTTGCTGATGGTATCCAGTGAACAGACATTGAGTAGCTTGTGTATATTGTGTGTTCTTTACAATCGCCGAACATTACCACGATGATTGATACGATATGACGAGTCAGAATAGACAATGATGTGACTTCCGCGTAAGATTTTTTAAATTAGGTTTTCACATTATGACATATCTACAATTTTGGGATTAGGCCTATTATTATAATAATACTACGAGCGATGTAAACCACAATTTCACAGTTCTTTAAACTACGCCTTCAAACGGCTTTTCATAATCATGAAATTTCATGTATAGTGACAAGTTTCATTCGATATATTTCCCAACGATGATCCATACTGTCTCAATTTGGTCTATGCGCGACCGATTCTTACGGGATACGGCAGGTTGATCTCAAAACTGCGCGTCCACTGAATCCTTCATCCGGTTCGGCAACGCTGTTGAAAACGTTTTCTGGTACTGGTAGTAGTGTGATTTTTCTGTAGTTCTCACACCTGATCAAATATCCTTTCTTTGGTAACGTGATGATACTGTGATCTAGTGGTCATGATAAACCTTACTTCTTTAGTTCGATCTCTGTTGTAGGTATGACCTTTGTGTTTTATTGTTTATCTGCATCAAAATAATTATTTTGTCTGGGTGACATTTTCGTCATCGTCGTTGTTTGGCGCAATGCCTCCGAAAGTTGTTTCTGGGAAAGCGGCTAAAAAATCATCTAAAGTCAAAGTACCTAAGTCTGAGAAGAAAAAAAAGCGAAGGAGGAAGGAGAGTTATGCCATATACATATATAAGGTGTTACGTCAAGTCCATCCAGACACAGGGATATCATCAAAAGCGATGTCTATAATGAACTCTTTTGTTAATGATATCTTTGAAAGGATTGCAGCAGAAGCTAGTCGCTTAGCACATTATAACAAAAAGTCAACCATTACCAGTCGTGAAGTTCAAACTGCTGTCCGACTACTATTGCCTGGCGAACTTGCGAAACATGCTGTGTCTGAAGGTACAAAAGCAGTTACTAAGTACAGTGGATCGAAATAAAATGACTTTAACTTCCTTATGTAATGTTTTTAAGCAGACAATAAAATTATTTTCATCAGCTTGTAAGTCTTTATCTTAATAACGCCGTCAACCCCCATTCCACATATAATTTCTAGACGTGCATTCCTTTTTTGGGCTTTCTTTTATGAGTAGCGGTTACTGGTCGAGTGTGAGATTTGTGATATCACTTAAGCTTTTGTGTTATGTGATGAACCATTGGTAATTTTTCTATATTTAGGTGAATGTTCAGACTTGTGTTTACTGTGTTGCCGGGCCTGTTTACTTAATATTTCACTAAGCAGTGTGTAAATCTCGATTTATTTTGTCATCTTCCTGTCTGTATTAATTGTTCTAAGTCTGTTAGTACTCATTCACAGCTGCATAATTACACGTTTCACCTTAAAACGTCGATGGCTTGTTTTGCGGAGGAAATTAGCTTTAATTCTGAATAGTTCTTCCTATGGGTATACGAAATTATTAAGTAAGGGAATTAACTAGCCGTGGATCGTAGTAAAATACACCTACTTAAAAATGAATAGGAAATATCGGTCGATATACTTTCTCTAGGCTTCAAAGCACCTTTCAGAGTGTGGTGAGCAACGTCTATAGTGAAATCCAAACGCGGAGACGTCTGATCAGTTGGTAGTAAGTGTAAGTCTATTATCCACGAATGGGTAGTTAATATGTTCTTTAACTAGACTTGCCTAATATTACTTTATAGTTTGCGACTGTGTTATCGTCGAAACGGGCATAATTAAGTTAGTGGCGCGCCGCACCCTAGTAGTTGTAGTGCATCGGGAATGTTTGCCTCCTATGAAAATATCGATCCCTTCTGTCGAGAGCCCTGTCTTTTCCGTGGCTTCGTTTGTTGGTGCTAATTGTAAAGTATGAAGTCAAATATTCCTGGGAAGAAATACATTTCAGTCTAAAGTGTATTTAGGTAGCACTGATTTCACTACACGATTAAAACCCGTACATTACCTTTATCAGACAGCTTACATGTTTCTAACTAATTAGTCACTTATTAGGAGATCCCGTCTAGGAAGTCACTTCAAAAAGTTCGCCTTATGTTTCCCGAACTACATCATTCTTGTAATACTTTAGTTATCAACGTGTTTTAGATTATACACACTTAGATGAGTGAAGGTGTCCTTATAGTTATCGAGAAGAGGTATGATCAACATACCAGACAACTGTTCTTTACACCTTCCTAATTTTAGATTGTCTTCGATCAGAAAATTCATATCGTGAGGTTTGCAAGGCTTCACTTATCATTAGTGTCATGACTTAAATAAAGCATTGCCGGGAAACTTCTTATTGTCTTTTATTCGCTACACATCCTGAAACCCATGTTCAAATGATCAAACGTAATTACAAATTGTTTTTCGAACTTCATTTTTGTGCTAAGCACCAACTTTACACTAGTATTCTCATACTTACTGGTGGTAAGCCAGTATCATTGAATAAGTCATTGTTGTATTGAGCGCTAGGCAAGTAAATTCTTTAAAGATAAGAGGGATTCAGTTCACTTATTGTTACTTAGACGGGCAGTCGGACGTTCCTCGGAGTTGTAGTTTGTAGTAATCTCTGTGTCATTTTAAATTATGCAGACACAATATCAGGCATTCTCTGATTTGTCTTGTTTGATTTATTTCAGCTGATTCTATGTGAATTTACTATCTGTTACTTTTTCATCAAAACAGTTTTTATATGAAGTCTTTGGCGTGGACTGGGGAAGAAGAAACCGCTAAATACCTGTGTCGATGCACCTTCTTAAATACAAGCTAAAATACTACGTAACTTTAAATCTTAGCTCTGGATTTTTGATAAAATGAATAGGAGGGGGTCATATTTTGTTATTTAGATCTATGAGGCGGACTAATAGTTTGTTTTATCCCTTAAGAAACAGGCAAAGATAGGTTGACTTTGAAAAATACTTTTGGTGGTTGTTTACCAAAGAAGTTTGATCTTGAGTTGTTTGTCTAATGAAATGATATGTGTAGAATGTGAGGTGATTCAACATGAATCCAGTATCATTTTGGGACTGATTTGAAATGTAAAACTATGAATGTTTCATAAAGTCGTCAATGTAATGCAAAATTTGTTGCCAATGAAGTAGTCTAGTGCGCCATATATAGTAGAACGAAAGCTTACTGCTTAAGGCATTCTATCTTCACTCACTTAGTGCTGGGCTCGAACTTCATTCTACTGCGGTTTGAGAATTTGATCACTATCATTAGCCCTCACTTAGAGTATGAGCCATACTAAAGTACCTCGTGAATGAGTTAATTTAAACCCTAAAGACTTTATGCTACTGTGTCATATAAGAAATTACCGAGGAATAGTTTGGAAGACTAGCTTATAACTGAAGCTTATCTCTTTCCAACACTTGTGATCCCAAATAAAATAGTGATTTAATTCCTAAACCTTCCCACTGAATAATCTATTTCACACTTGTTCATGGCTTTTATTTCTCTCAGAACACCTTTTTGTGCGTGGTCTGCTGTTATTAAGAATCTTCAAGGACTGATATTATGGGCAAAAATGCTTTTAAGGATGAATCGATGACTATCATGTCCGTTGAGCGAACAGAGTTCATATTTACCTAAATAGCAATTTTAGTTAATCCGAGGTAGATTATGCTCGCCTTTTTGGTATCATTCTCACGAAGAAAGTTCTAATCGTTCTAATTAATTAAGATAGCTAAAATTACACTCTTAATGTAGTCTGGAAATCTAGAGTTGTTGGCTTCATATTACTACAGATTGTATGATCATTTCAAACACGGTAGTCTGGAATATAGCGACTATCTGCCATTCGGACTGAATAATTGTTAAACCATGATTTGATTCGATTGACATTGGGAATATAAGTCATTTAATCTAGATATATCACGCTCACTGTGAGATCTCTAAGTCATTTTTTGTGCGTTCGTTGTGTGTATTCTTAAGAAATCCAGACCTAAGGTGAAAAACCATCCAGTGCACAGTAATTCCTAATGATTCTCCAGATGATATCAGTTTATGATGAGAATTATTTCAGAGTCGGACAGTTCTTCACAAACTAATAAGTTTCATTTTGATCAGTGCACGCATGTTTTTTATATTTTCATTTCCATTAGTTACTATGTAATATTGAATTTCTTTAAAAATATTTCATTTTTTACAATCATTACGATAACGGAAATAAACAGTGGTTTTACTATCCTATTATCTCATTATTTTATCTATAATTTAAAAAGGTTATGAAGGACTTACTGTTCACTCGTCGGAAAATAACCCCAAGCATAGTAGTTGAATTAAACGATATTCAACTTTACATAATAAAAGTAACATATTTTATAGGCAATACATTATATCATATATTATATCATATAAGGGCGGCCTGCTTGAGCATCTGGGCTACCTGTTCCTGCCATCTAGATATTTCAACAAGTTATCTATTGTTGTTTGTTTTAATATATCATTATGTTTATTAATCGCATAACCTATTCTGCTGCGTTTCTGAAAAGTGTACAACCTTTCGTTGTCAAAGTTACAGAAAACTCAATAAGAGACAATATGGTTGCTGGCAATGTACAACGAAAAGAATGTACATTATTCAGTTGTTCATTCACTGAAGTGCTAACATCTAACTGGCGATTCCTCAATATTTATCGCCAGGACCGACCAAGAAGAAAGAAACGGAAACTTGTTGAAATACTTTGCGCTGAGAATTCTATATTGTACCGAAATTATAATATTGAATAAAGCTAATAATAATAATAATAATAATACTAATCTTTCTTCATCCGCGAGTAGTTATTACTCTACTCGGAATGTTATTTTACAAAAGTTAAGAATTAGTATCATGAAAGTGGTATTGTATTCAACAATAAATAACATAATGAAATACATTGTTATTATTTATTGGTTATGTTTGAATTTTTCTTCCTGAATTAAACTTTTCCTTCTATTTTAATGTAATATATTTTATAAGAAATAAACGAAAAGAATTATTTACGAATATTCTATACAAGTACAATACTACTATTAGTTTCAATAATAAATAAAACTGTACTGTGGAGAATGTTTAAAATGTAATATCTTTAATTATAATATACAATCTTTTAAAAAGTGTTTCTTAGCAGAGCGATAAATTTCAGATAATTTAGCCATACCTTATAACCATTTGGGCAAATATTTCTGGCCGTTTAAGAATTTCCATCATATAAGTACATCAATATATGAGCGAAGAATATTCTTCACAATATATATAAGGTTACCACTGAAGGTTCATAATGCCTGATAAGCTTTCATAAAGTAATCGTAATCTACGTTCCAAGAATCAGTCATAAACAATTTAGGACATGGCACATATGTAGATCGGTGTAATCCGTTATACCATATGAGCACAGCAAGATGAAAGTATTCAGACAAATACCAGAGCAGTAAAATTAGTAATGTTAGCAGTGATAATAGAAAAAATTGTGTAGACACCAACCAGGTAGTCTGCACCCGCTAACAGGGTTCAGTCCAACAGTTACTAACTTCATGGACTGATGTTGCGTTTTGGTCTTCCCTTCCTTGGCTTTCATTCAACTTACTCCTTCACAAATAAACATTATGCGTTGAAACAGGTGGCGGTCGGGAATACGCATTGTCATACAGTCTTTCTGTGAGTAGTTCTTGATGTCTTAGCTTCGTACTTTTAAGACGTGAACCCCTAGCAACGAGAATTTGGGTGGTAAGGTGCAGTGTGCTAATCCTAGGCTCGGATTTTTATGCTTCCTTCCTTTCGTCATGGGAAGGCAGGATCGTCTCAGACGTTGGTTTTCCAAGAGGAATAGTACTGCCCTCACCATCTGATATAGTCATCTGTATGACTCCACCCTTAGACTTTAAGCTTCTGCTTTAGGTTTTACCGTTCCCAACCAATCTATTTGGAATCTCAGAACTTGAAGGAACAAGTGTTTCAGTCAATAAAACGACTGCGTCAGCACGTTAGGCAAGCTCAACCATTACAGAAGGGTTGCAGCTACGGTCGGGTATGTTGAAGATATTAAATGAAATCAGTCG